AGGGTACATCCTCCGTGGGTGTACCCAGCAGCCTTTTCCTGAGCTTTGCCAGGGCGTTGAAGGGATGCTGGGCCCAGTCCCAAATGAAGATGGGCACTCATTACCCTCTACCTCCTTCCAGTAAGGAGAAACCTCCTATTGAAGCCGCCCTGCTTCTCAAACGCACTTCCCTTCCTCGCTCCCCACCTTTTCCTCTCCTAACGGTGAGACCTGTGGGAAAACAGAAAGGAACAAGTGTCTTTCTGGCAGCTTCTTCTCTTCTTTTGGCCAATTAACACAGATCTGTCCCAAGGCCTGGCTACATTTACACCTGTGGTGGTTGGAGGGACAGGGCAGTAACACAAAGAGAAAAATGCAGATTATTCTCCATCAGTCATCATGTCACAGCTGCAGCAGAGAGAACGGTGCGGTGGTAAATAGGAGACCTGGGCCCCCATCCCTATTCTGGGCCTAAATGTCTTTATCAGCAAAATTGTTTAGAGGTAATATTGTGGGGCAGGGATGGGAGAGTTTCTTCCGTTTTGCAAACAGAATAGAGACGCCTCCACAAATCCCCTAGCAAAATGTCCCAGTCAGACCCGTTTCTACTTGGACAGTGAGGTTGGGAGGCCCAAGGGAATGGGGATAATAATTGTTATGGGTGACCAGGTACAGAGCTGGAAGTTTCCAACCTGGCTCCATAATCATACTAGAGGTGGGGGTGGGAGGTTGTTAAGAAATAGCAGAGGATACCTAAAGCCACATTTTAGTATCTAGAACGTGGGCTCTGAACTGGGGTCCACGAACTGGAGAATTCAGGGGTCGATGAACTTGGGGTTGGAAAATACTACAACTTTATTTCCACTTACCTCTTTCTCCTCAGTTATGAATAAAGGTAGCAAACTACAGTCATAGTAGCAGGGCCAGTAGAAATCACAGAGCTTCTCACAGCCCTTGACAGTTTGCTGCAGATGTCTTGAAACATCACTTACACACAGCTCTACTTCCAACTCACGGTAGTTTAATAGGCCCACCTGGGATCTTGTTATTTAATCTGTTAATAAAGAAACCTATGTACGTATTACCACATCATACATTTTAAAAATATTTTGACAACTGTGTATCAGGATAACTAGTTTCCTTTGTAATCCTGTATATTTTATTTGAAGCATATAAAAATACTATTTTGAGAAGAGATTCATGGCACAAAAATAGGTTGAGAGCCCTGGCCGAGAGGGCCATGTTGACACTGAGGCTGCTCAGGGCCATGAGAAGACAGTTGTTCACACACTGGTGGAGAGCAAACACTCTTTCAATGTGCAAGTGAAAGCTGAGCCATGCCCCTCGAAGGCCAGCCTCCAGCCTCCAGGCAGCCCGGGGCGTCTGTGCACAGGCAGCCCTCACTTGCCAGGGCAGTTCCTCCACTTCTGCCTCCCCATGTGCTGGCCCTCACTGGGAGCAGTGCCATCCCCAATCTACGCCAGGCAATCCCTGCCCTGAGATGACATGGCCGAACTGCTCTCATGGATGACCCAGGCCCCAGCGGCCTCAGGAGAGGAGGTGCACCATTGTGCAAGGACACCTTTCATTTCACAAAGGAGGAAATGGAGGGCACAACTGCTGTTGCAGAACGGTTCCCCGTATCTGAGTCTGGCTTCCTTATCTCTCTGTTGAGACCTTCCAAGCTGTCCCCTGGGCCACAGGGCAAAGCCCAACCACATCCACCAAGGTCTAGGGACGTGAGAACTGCCGGAGGTCCTGCAGGCCAACAGCGAGAACAGCTGGGCCCAAACCTCCCAAGCTCAGCTCTTCTGCCCCCAGCCAGCCAGAGAATGTGCTCACTTCCCATCACTCTGGCCCATTGGGTAAGGCCCAAACCCATGAACCCATACAGCTGAGCACCTTCCCCACCTTTTGGAGAAATTTCCCAGGTTTCAGATAACTGTGCGAGAAGGGGCTGAAGTTTAATTCTGGGGTGGAGGATGACCTGGAAGGGCGCTGAGGAATGATGGGGAGAGTTCCGAGAACCTAGAGATTTTCAGGGGAGCAATGCAAAGGTACAGCCCAGAGCCACCCGCTTCTGCTTCCTGCCATGCTTTCTGCTGCCTTCAATACCAACCTGGTCTGGTTGGGGCAGAAAAATGACTGACAGGGCCCCAAGACATCATTCATTCACTTATTTACAGATATTTGTTCCCAGCAGGTGCTCATGTGGGCAAGGGGGCGGGGAGGCTGAACCACATGCACTGTAAATGCTGCCCACAGAGGGCCTGGGCAGAGGGAGGAAGCTACCCATTCTCTGAGGGAGGCCTGAGGCACAGTCTGGAAGGGTGAGGAGGATTATCCTGAGTGGAGACAGATGAAGGCCTTGCAGGCAGAGGCACTGGAAGAAGCCCAAGCTCCAGGGCTGCTTGGGGAGAAGTGGTGTTGGGACCTGTGCACTGGGCTGTGCTGACAGAGAGGGCTGTGTATGTGACACTGTCAGGAAAATGGGGTCCTGTGGTTAAGTGCATTTAGGAAGTTCTGGGTTAAACAATATTGAACAGAGCTCTTTACTTCCAGACTTGTCAGAGCCTTTAACCTGTTTATGTGCAGGGTGAGCCTCACAGTGGAGCCCAGGACTGGTGTCCTGTGGCAGGCCATACTGGCAGAAGCATATGGGAGGCAGTGGAAGTTGATGAGGTATAGAGAATGCACGGGTTTTGAATGCCAGGCTGGGGAGGTTGGACCTTTTCCTTGGGACCAATGAGGAGTCTCAGAAGATTTAGACTCAGGAAATGGCAGGAGATAGCCAGTCCCAGTCAAAGGCTTTCCCCTCCTTGACAGCAAGGCTGCTTTGTGGGACAGCAAAGCCCATGGACACAGCCAGCCGTGACGGAGCCCAGAGAGACAGGCAAGTAGAACGGGAAGGCTGAGCAACCCCTGAATCCAAGTCTGAGTTAAAAGCCTTTGGCATAGTGGTCAGGCCTGCTTGGGTGCAAATCCTGACTCCGCCACTTCCTACCTGTGGTTATCTGCCCGAATCTCTCTAGGGCTTCAGGGTTTTTGTTGTTCTTAAATAGACATTATTTTTTAGAGCTGTTTTAAGTTTGCAGAAGGTACAAAGGATTCCCATATGCCCCATCCCCAACCCGTTTCCCCTTATTACCATCTTGTATTAGTGTGATGTTTGTTACAATAAACGAACCAATACTGGCACATTATTCTTAAAGTCCACAGTTTACTTGAGGGTTCACTCTGTGTGCTGTACAGTTCTACGGATTTTAACAAATGCACAATGTCTTGTATCTACCATTGCAGTATCATAGAAGAGTTTCACTGCCCTAAAAATGCTCTGAGCCTCATTTTTAACATCTGTAAAATGAGTGTGAAGCTCATCTGAAGCCCCTCAGTCTCCCACTGTAGGTTTCTAATTTAGGCCTCCTGACAAATTAAGTGGTACTGAAATCAGCTAAGTTCTTCTGTAAATAATGGTCTGAATCCATCAGAATCACTGGGCTGGGGTCAGAGAGTCCTCATTCAAATACACATTCTAGGGTCTCAACTTCAGACCTGCTGAATCAGAATCTCTGGGGTGGGGCCCAGGAATCTGCACTTTTACAAGCTCCCTGGTGCAGGGGAAAGGTTGAGACCCACTGTGCCCAGGGCAGGAACCCCTGGGCCAGGCTCCTGCCTGATTGTGCAAATGGGAATTTGTTCTACCAAGGCTTTTCAAACCTCAACAGTAGGAGCCTAGACACTGTCAGGTTAAAGCTCTGAAGAGATGTGCCATCTCACAGAAGGGGAAGGAGCAGAACAGTTGGCCATAAAGCCAGGAAAAAGCCCACGTCTGCCTTCTGCAGATCCCAGAAGCTCCCAACAAGCCTGCTGTTCTTCCTTATCCCGATTGCTTATCACTCACCCAAAATAACCTGAATGCAATGTCTCACCAGCTGCAGCTCTCTCTGCAACTCCCTTAATTTAGCAGCCAAACACGTTTGGCTCTGTAACCAAGCACAAGGCCTGAGCAGAGGGCCCAGGAAGGGGGCCTTCCTTCATGGCCATCTGTAGTGTGTTGAAGTGTCCCCCCAAAAATTCATGTCCACCTGGAACCTCAGAATGTAACTTTATTGAGAAGTAGAGTCTTTGCAGATATAATTAGTAAGGACTGAGATCATGCTGGATTAGAATAGGTCCTAAACTCGATAACTGGTGTTCTTATGAGAGGAGACAGAGATACGCACAGGAACAAAGGCCATGTGAATACACATGCAGAGACTGGGGTGATACAGTCACAAGCCAAGGAAGGCCAGGGATTGGCTGGAACCACCTAAAGCTAAGCAGAGGCAGGGAAGGATTCTTCCACAGAGCCTTCGAGGGAAAATGGCCTTGCTGATGCCTTGATCTCAGGCTTCTGGCCTCCAGATCTGTGAGAGGATACATTCCTGTTGTTTTAAACCATCCAGTTTGTGGTAATTTGTTACAGCAGCCCTCGGAAACTGATATACTATCATTGCCACAAACCCTTGGACCGGCTCAGCCCACCCCTCTCAGACCCACTACAGCCGGGAAGGACCCCACACTCAGGAGGTTCTCCAGACGGGAGTTCTAATGTGTCCCATTATGATCAGAGCTATTTCCCCCACATCCCCAACATCTTTCAGTCCTGCACCTACTAGGCTCATTTCCTACACAAGGAGAAGCACCCTTCTGTCCTCTGCTTGGAAGGCTATATTTCTTTTTTTTTTTTTTTATTCTGATGTTTTCTATTTTATTTATTTTTTTCCGTTAAATTTTTATTTTGTCAATATACAATGTATTTGATTATTATGGCCCATCACCGACACCTCCCTCCCTCCTCCCTCTCTCCCCTCCCCCCCAAGAATGTCCTTTCCGTTTGCTTGTTGTAACAACTTCAGAAAGGAAGGCTATATTTCAAGAAGGGTTGAGGCTGCGGTAGCAACAAATAAATGTTGGTCCTGGGGCAGTGTATGGCTGATGGTGCCATGTGGCAGTCCCTGGGCTCAGTCGAGGGTCAGGCTGGAAGAGTCACTACAACTTCATGCCACTCTGGCGTCGTGAGTCCTTCCGGGCAATGGGGCTGAAGTTCACAATCTCCTTGTAGATGTGCTCTAAGAAAGGCAGGATGGTTTAAGGTGGCAAGGGGGTGCTGAGGGCAAGACAGAGCACCCTCCCCCTTCCCCTTCAGACATAGTGTGGAGTAGGAAGTCAGTTCAAGGAGGAAAAAACACACAGGAGATAATATCCACTTGGGGAGAAGGGAACAGGAGTCTCCAGGTGGCAGGTGGGGCTGGTTGAGGGGAGGTGTGAAGACAAAAGCGGCAAAGAAGAGAGGGGGCAGGCAGAGAGAGGAAGGAGCCAAGACCCCCGCTCTTACGCCTCCATTCGTCCACTGTTAGTTTCTCGTGTTCTAAGGAATCATCGAATGGCTGCTGGGCCTCTGTCTCCTCCTCAGGGTCCCGGAAGGGTTCAAAGAAGGGGTGGGCGAGGGCCTGCGAGGCTGTCAGGCGCTTGTCCACGTCCAGCTCCAGCATCTTCTCCAGCAGATCTGCAGCTGCAGCAACTGAGCCATGAGCCTCACACCTCAGGCCCAGGAAAGCCTACCTCCTGGGATGGACTGAGAGGTCCCTGGGGGCAGGCCCGAGACTCACCCTGGGGGCTGGCACGTGGGAAGAGCTGAGTGAAATCCTTCTTAGGGCTCTGTGGCAGGGACTGAATATAGGATTTGGCCTGGAAGACAGAAAAGCATCAAACCCCTCAAGGCTCAGGCCTCATGGTGTAGATATTCAGAAAAGCCCCAGAGCAGGGCTGATGGCTCAAGTCAGAGTCCAAGGGGGGATGAAAGCAAGAGCACTTGCCAGGCCAGAAGGATGCTATGGCAAGGGGCAGGTGAGCCCTCCTCCCCAAATGCTCCCAGCCCACCCAGCCCCTGGTCAGCCCGTGCTTAGCCTAGGCCAGCCTAGGCCCCACTTGCTACCCACCGCTTTGTCGTTCAGCTTCTGCACAAACTCTGTGCCCGGCACCCCGGTCACTTTCAGGATCTGGGTCAGCTGGTCCAGATCTTGGCAGCCAGTTAAGGCTCAGCCTTGCTATCTAATGGAGGGTCTGAGGATACCCTTCCAGGGCCCCACCAACCCTCCACCCAGGCACTGTGGTAACCATGGACACTCCAGACCTGCCTAACCACCTCCTGCTTTTAGGAGAGAAGGTTCACCCTTCAGGACTCAGGTCTCTGGAGAGTTTCCCAACATCCCCCCTGCCCCAACATGCCCCCAGAGCATGTGGACCTCCCAGCCCTCATCCCACTGGGCCACGCTCATCTAGATGTTTCCCCATCTTCTCCCCCACCTCACGAGTTGGGTAAGAGAGACCTCGCATCTTCTCGTCAAATGCCTGTGCAGTACACACAGGTGCTAATTAGTGTGTGTGGTGCCAAAATGTGAAGTATTTTCCACATGGTGGTAGAATTATAGGTGACTCGTTTTCATCATTTTGCTTATCTGCATTTTTTAATTATTCTCTGGGAGCATGTATCACTCTGGCATTAAGAAGAAAAGAGAGCTACTGGAATAAAGTGTTTGATGGAGGAATGAATCCTGGATGGAGTCTGGCTTTTCCAGCAAAGGATACAATCTTTTCCCTTGAAAAGAGTTTTCCCCGTCAGCATCTCCGCCATGATGCAGCCAACAGACCAGATGTCCACTGCAGAGGAAGGGGGGAGTGTCACCTGCACCGTCAGACCAGGACCCGGTGATCAGTGACCATGGAGTAACCAGATGGCCTCAGGGGAACTGCCAGAGCAGGCCCCAGCCCTATGCCCCTCCCCAGTTAGCCGACCACTGACCAGTCTGGTTGTAGTGCATCCAGCTGAGGATCACCTCGGGGGCCCGGTACCAGCGGGTCACCACGTAGCCGGTCATCTCAGCATCCGCATGCCGTGCCAGCCCAAAATCCAGGATCTATGGCTCAGGGGACACAGGGAGAAGAAGCTTGCTGAGGGGAAGAGGCTCCTGGAGAAGCTTCAAGGGGCTCCTGTGGGAGAGGGCCCAGCCCAAGCCCGGGCTGAGCCTGCCTGCAGCCCACTCACCTTCAGGTCACAGTCCTCATTCACGGCCAGGTTGCCCGGCTTTAGGTCCTGGGTGAGAGGACAGAGCGAGCACTGGGGTGAGAGGCACAGACCGGAGCTTGTCCTTGCCCTGCCACCACCCAGCAGTGTGACCTCGACCAGGTCCCTTCCCCTCTCTGGGCCTCAGTTTCCCCATGTGTAAAATGAAGGTTGGACTAGGTGTCCTCTAGGGTCCCATTCATCTCTAAATTGTTCCTGATTCTTGGAACCTTTAACACCCAGCTGAGGGCTCACTTTGTGTTCCCCAGAACACAGAGACTCTTCCCAGTAGGCCTTCCTGGGCCAAGGCTGGGTCTGAAAAATCTACATTCCATGCCCCTGAGAATTGTCCCCTCCCTCCACCTTTCCTGACTCTCTGGTTGCCACCCACCCCCTTAGGGGTAGGACAGGGGCCTCTGAGGACCATAGCAGAGAAAGCACTCACCCTGTGGACGACCCCGGCTGAGTGGATGTACTGTTGTGGGGGAGGGAGAGAGAGAGGAGGAATCCATCACCCGGCTTCCACACCAGGCATTTCAGGCTGGCTCTGAAATCTACTCTGCCCTGTCACAATGCGCTCCCTCCAGCCTCTCCCAGACCTCAGATCTTGACACCAGAGCACCCCTTGTGCCACCCTCCGAGCCCCCACCCACCTTGAGACCTTTAAGCATCTGATACACCAGGTACTGGATCTTGTCCTCACTGAACTCCATCCCCATGATCTTCTGCAGATCCGTCTGCATGAAGGGCATCACCAGGTAGCTGGAAAGCACCAGGGCTTCTTGGAACAGTCCCCAGTCCCTCCCAGCCCCAGGTCTCAGCTCAGAGGAGGGGTGTGGACATGGGGCAGGACAGGGATTTAGAGGTGACCTCCAGCATGCAAGAAGAGCCAGCCCTACCTCAGCTGGCCAGCCCCCTGCACGGGCCTCAGGGCTCCTGGCTCCCAGCCTGCCTGCGGTGGGTTGCAAAGTTGGCAGAGCCCAGGATAAGCATTTTTGTTGGAACGTGCTCAGGAAAACCAAATGGAGCTGTGCTCCCGCTCATGAATGGTGCCCTCTCCTTGCCCTCCTCCACATCCCACAGAGAGCCACAGCTGTGAGTTAGAAACATCTGCCAGTATTTCCTTCACTTCCATCCAAATATTTTCTAACCCAGAGGGTCATGCCTGGCTGAGATAGCTTCTCGCAAACAACACATCTGCCCTTCCAAGAAGGAAATAATAAAACAATTTCCAGGAAGGTGAAAGGAGGTGCTTGGGCCATGGCAACCTCTTATGGGATTACAAAATAGGTCGAGGTCAGCAAAATGTAACTGTTACTCGAGGTAGAAACAGCAAAGTCCAGAACAAAAAATAATAAAGATTATAGAAGGAATATTTTTTTAAAAAAAGAGGAAACGGTAGAGGCCATCTCCATGGGCCTCTGAATTTTTGAAGCCACCTTCTGCCTGAGCACATCCCCTCCTCCCTGAGACCCTGCTCCATGCACAGCCCCTGTCCACCTTTCACCTCTGCATGACCCCAGTTCTTTCTCCTCAGCTGACAAACTTGCCGAAGTCCTGCTGTGTTTGACCCAACTTCCCTTGACTTTGCTTCTTCAAGTGACCACCCTTCTTCCTCTCTCATCACCAAACTTCTAGAAAGGGTGGTCCACACTCCTTGACTCCACTGCCTTAACCCCTAGTTCCCCGACAACCTGGTTTCTACCTCCATCCTCTGCCAAGCTGCTTGGCTCAAACACAGCACGGCTCTCTTTCTTCCTACTTTACCTTTTGCAAAGTCTGACACTCCCTCAAAATGATCTGCCAACTCTCCTCTACCTCTGATGACGCTCTCTCGATTTCTTCACCTATCCACCCTCATGTGCCTTCTTTTAATGTTGATATCTGAATCACTATCTTATCATGTTCTACTAGGACCTGTTCCTGGGCTTCAACTATCATCCACAGGTGATTATTCCAGCCCAAATCCACATCCCTGGCCCAGACTTTCCTCTCCTAAGGTCTAGATTTATTTGCAACTGCTGATTAAACACTGGAATGTTCATATGCTCTCCAAAAGTGAAGTGTCCAAAATGGAGTTCATTATCTTTCTCCCAAAATCTGTTCTTTCTCCACCTCAAATTCCAACCAGAAACCTGGGCATCCCCCCACTTCCATCACCTCACTCAGCTACTGCATCCCAATGGATACAACATTCTGCTAGTCCTGATTCCCAAGTGGGCCCCAAGTCAGCTCTTGCATCCCATCACCTCTACTTTAGACCAAGGTCTGGGTCACTGATGTCCTCAGAGCTGCTCCCTGCTCCTTTCTTGCTGCTGCTGGAGTGCAGCCCAAAATCTCATTTGATCACATCACCTCCCTGTCCAAAACCTCCATGTACTTAAGGCTGCCTATAGGATCAAGTCAGACCTTTAGCTTGTTCAAACCAGCTGCTGGCCTCCACTCGCCACAGTGAACTTCCCAGTATCATCCAGACAGTCCAGTCTCACTCAGGCACTATGCTAGCAAATCCATATATTTAGCAACTAAATTTCCTGATTCTGTGTAACACTGTCAAATACTCGATCAGCCAGAGGCTTCCAGATCCTTACTCTAAGCTAGGAAGAGCCCCAAGGTCCAGACCCATACATGGGTCCCCAGGGAATGGTGAGGTGACTTGGTGCAAACCCTGTGAGGTCTTCGTGGTGTTAAAACTGGATCAAAAGTGAAGCAGCTGTGTAGACAGCTCCCTGCCAGGCAAGCACCCCCCAAAGCTCTTCCTGCCTCTTCCTGCCTGCCTTTCTCTTTGCCTTGGAGAGAATCACACCTTGATAGGCCAAAAGCACAGGGACTTGCCAGGGAAGGAGGTCCCCCTCCCAGAAGAGAGAATCAGGATCCTCTCCCAATGGCAAGTAAGGCTCGCAAATGCCCCAGAACCCAGTACAGCCCAACTCACAAGTCATGGAAGTTGCGCAGGGAGGAGGCTGGGGTGAAGACATCCAGGAGCCCGATGACCTGGAGAAGAAGTCACCAGTGAGGGCTGAGGAGATGCTGCCCTTTCCTCCCACCTCCTGCGAGGCCCCAGCCATGCACAGGACCATCTACCCTTTACTAATACACCACCTCAAGTAGGAGACAGGTCTCCAGCCCTCTTGGAAGCAGTAAAAGGGACAGAGGCTAAAGAGGAATCCCCCCATTCAGGAGGGGCTTGCAGTAAACAATGATGGAGAATCAGGCTGGAGAGAAGGGGAGATGGGGAGAAGACTGAGTGTGCTCATTGCTCCCAAGGCTGGTGTTCAGGGCACGCGACATAAACTCTCAACTCGAGCAGGAAGTGGCAACCACGAAAGTTGAAGGGAAAAAAGCAGAGACTGGGGAAGGGGCTTTCCAATGAGCAGGCTCACTGCCCCTGACCTTGGGTCTCCAGCCACATCCATCCTCGCCTGCCACAGGGCGGGTTCGGAATCGGGGGCAAGATCACCCCCGGCTGGCGGCCAAAGAGGAAGGGTTTGCTGAAGAGGGATGTGGCTTAAGATGTGCACAATATTTGAAATCTTTATATGAAATGTTTCCCCTCCAATCTAGGTATCCTGGAGCAAAGCCTGTTTACCAGGCCCAGGGCTAGGACTCTGGTTTTCCTGGCTGTTTCTATCAGACAAGACAGTCTAATGGTCATGCACTCAGGGCTGGAGCCAGGCTGCCTAGATTCAAATCCCACCTCTGCCACTGACTAACCATATAACCTGTGAGCCTTTCTGTGCCTCAGTTTCCCCATCTGTGACATTGAGGCAAAGGTATTTATCTCTTTTGATATTGTGAGGATTAAGTAAGAAACTTTACCCAAAGCTCCTAGAACAGTGTCTGGCACATAGTAAATATTCAGTAAGTATCTATTATTGTTGCTGCTGTTGTTATTATCAGTCCCGTGTGGAAACAACATTAAACAGGATTCTAGTCTCAGCTGGGCACCAGCTCTTAGACATGGAGCCAATTACAAAGTTCCTCTGTGCCTATTTCCTCAGACAATGAGGCAGTAGTTTATACCTCACAACGCTCATTCTGCCAAAAAATACCCTTTGCACCCTTCCTGAGAAGTGGGCAGGGCAGGTCCCAGTACCTCATTTGGATAATGAGATGAGAAGCAAGAATCAGTGGAGCAGGAAGGAGATTTCTCCTCCAGGCCCTGTCCTGTGAACTCTCCCCGGGCCCCCACCCCTCCCTGCCTTCCCCAGAGCAGCCCGAGGTCCAGCCTACGTTCTCATGCTGCATGTGTTTCAGCAGCAGCAGCTCTCGATAGGCCCGCTTGGCGAAGATCTCAGACTGGAAGGGCCGGCTCAGCTTCTTGATGGCCACCTTCTCCCCTGACCGCTTGTCAATGGCGGAGCTATGGGGGCACAGGCTGGTCAGCAGGGAACGGCTTTCCTCCTGAGCAGCACCCCCCCCCCCGATCCTGGGTGGCATCTCCCAGGCCCCCCTCACGCCCCCACCCCCACTTGGCCAGCAGGCTAGTCTGGGAGGAGATGATGCCCACTACCTAGAACGTGGGAGAGCGGCTGGGAGCAGGCGGAGGGGTGGCAAGCCAGGCAGAAACTGGAAGAGGGGCACTGCGCCAGGGTCAGAAACATTTTAATGCCGACAGGATCCAGAACGGGGCAGGAGTCTCACACTCTCTGCCATTTGACAAGTCACTGTCCCCTCTCGGGGCCTCAGTATACTCATCTGTAGCAATGGGGATTTGGCCGGTGAACTCTGGGGTCCTCTGTAAAGTTACAGTCCTGGAGAACTAGACCCAATCCTAATGCAATCCACAGAGACTCCACACAGCCACCCCGTGAGAAGGTGAGATGGCGGCCGGGGTAACCCCGGGCCAGCCTCTGCCGCAGCGTGCGGCTTCTCCTGCCCGACCTGCCGCCTCCTTGCACTCCGCGGGCTCCGCCCAAGCAAAGCCCCCGGGAGGGCGCTGGGCCTTGGGGTCCTCGGCCAAGGTGGAGCTGGAGCGAACAGCCAAGAGCCGTCCAGGAGGGCAGAGGGGGCCCGGCGCCCGCCCCGGCTTTTGGGGAGGCTCGGGGTGCCTGGGCGCCCGCCGCGTGTCCGCCCCCCGCGCCCCCCA